GACTCTTCTGATTGGCTGAGTGCATAAGAAATCCTTAGGATAAGCAAAATAAGAGTTAATTATTATAGATTGGCATATGTACATGAATAATTTTCTAGAAAATATTTTATAGTCAAACAGCGTTATAATGAATCAGTGTGGAAGTATGCGTGTATACTTATGAAAGTTACTTTCCTAAGATTCACGAGAAAACAGTAGCAGTAATTATCTTCGGGTAAGGGACTATAGTGGTAGTAAATGGAATTTTATACTTTTCTAAACTGTTTGAATTTTCTTACTATGTACTTTAATTTTTGAAAAAAAAAATTAACCAAAGTTAACTAACCAGTGATTATGAACTACCTTGCTTTTTCATGTTTATTTATATATGGGGGATAGAATTCTCCATAGACCCCTAATATACATATTTACAGAACTTGGTGTTTCACTTTTGTAATAACATTTAGTAGGGTCTTAAAGACCTACTATCTATCCCCCTGACCCTACCCTACTAAATGTTATTACAAAAGTGAAACACCAAGTTCTGTAAATATGTAAATTAGGGGTCTATGGAGGATTCTATCCCCCTTTGAAAAAATGCCTGAGTGATGACTAACAAGGGAATGTTCTGGAAAAATAAAGAGGGAAGGTTATTTGAGTTCAGTTATTCAGGACATGTCTGTCATCTTTGCTGTTTAAAAGAGCTGAGAGCTAAGGGTGTCCTTCTAACAGGAAACAAACTGAGTGGGCAGCTCAGGCAGCTGGAGCTGGCCTTTGAAACAGGAAAGGGCAGAGTCTGTTTCTGGCTAGCTGAAAGCTCTAAAGTTTTTCAGAAAATGCTGGCATAGGGTATAGATAGAATCATCCCATCAGAAACAGGTAGAAACACTCTTCATATCTTGCTTGTTAGTGCATATGGTTCAAATAAAAAAAAAACTAGACAGACAGGAGGTGTAGAGGGGAATCCCATGTGCCTGAGGGATAGAGGGATGTAGGGCAGGAGTCCCAGACACACAGTTGAGACCTTAGGAGAGGCACAGGCCAGTGCCAATGGTCAGGCAGGAACTCTCGAAGGCCATAAAGCCAAGAACGTTTTTCTACTCTGGACTGTGGTGAGATTATGAACAGAGGCCAAAGGCGCTTTATAGGGATGAGCCAGAGGGGACATGGGGTCACCCTTCAGAGGGGATGGACTGGATGTAGGTTCCAGAAGGGTAGTCTTAGAAGTGCTGCTCATTCAATTCTTACATCTAGTGATTTGCCTGAGCATCTCTGTGGAACTTTCAGACCTTTTCCTTTTAAGCCTATGCTCTATATGTATAATCAGGCATTCCTGCACTTTTTTTTTAACATTTAACAATTAGTAAAATTAATTTTTTGAATATTCCAATCAGTTATGCTTGTCAGGAGGGGAGGTAGGTGTTTCCATGTTCTGGTTGTTAAAGGGACAGGAGCAGATGCCTTGTGTGGTCCCCAGGGAAGGGTGGCATCAGGGAAAGGGATGGGCCCAGCTCCAGAGCCCTGGGGACATGAGGGTACGAGCCAGGCTGAGGAAATGAGAATACACCAGGAAGGACATTGGGGCTGGCTGCAGGGGCTGCATCCTTGCGCCCTCTGCCACTTATCTGACAAACCTCTTCCAAGTGCCAGAGGACACAGATGACAGCATCAAACGTGTTAAGTATTTACCTGAACTGTAGGAAAGTGACAATATTAATTTAATTTAATTTATTTATTTAGATGGAGTCTCACTTTGTTGCCCAGACTGGAGTGCAGTCTTGGCTCACTGCAACCTCCACCTCTTCGGTTTGAGAAATTATTGTGCCTCGGCCTCCTGAGTAGCTGGGATTATAGGCATGCCACCACGCCCAGCTAATTTTCATATTTAGTGGAGATGGGGTTTCACCATGTTGGCTAGGCTGACCTCAAATTCCTGATCTCAAGTGATCTGGCAGCCTCAGCCTCCCAAAGTGCTGGGATTACAAGGCCTGAGCCACCACGCCTGGCCCTGACAATATTCATTTTAGATCCACCAAAACAGCAATTCCCTAAGACTCAACTTAACATATGTGATCTAAGTGGCCTGCATGTTTTCATTGCATTTATTCCTCATGCCCACCTATAAGGTAGAAACTATTTTGTTATCCCTGTTTTACAGCTAAGAGGACTAAAGCTAAGTATGGTTAACTCCCTCAAGGCCACACAGCAAATGTGTATAAAGGCTGAGTATCCTTTATCCAAAATATTTGGGACCAGAAGTGTTTCAGACATCCAATATTTTTGGATTTTGGAATATCTGCATAGAAATGAAATATCTTAGGGACAGGACCCAAGTCAGAATACAAATTTATTTCTGTTTCATATATAGTTGGTCCTCAAATCCTCATGTTCTCCATGCTTGGGTTCAATCAACTGCATATTCAACCAACCTCAGATTGAAAATACAGTGCTCAGGGACGTGGAGTCCCTGGATACTAAGAACCAGCTGTTTGTATTCTCAAGTTCCACAAGTCTGACTAAGCATCTTGGGATTTTGGTATGGGGGCAGTCCTGGAACCAATGCCCCAAGGATACTGAGTACACTTTACACATGTAGCCTGAAGGTAATTTCATACATTTTAAAAATAATTTTGTATATGAAACAAGTTTCGATTGGGGCCCCCCCATCACATGAGATCAGATATGAAACTTTCCATTAGTGGTGTCACGTTGGTGCCCAGAAAGTTTGCTTCAGATTTTCATATTAGAAATGTTCAACCTGTAGTAGAGTCAGAACTCATGCAGGCAGCTATCCTCACAAACCCCATCCTACCACCCTGGGTTAGGACCCTGAGGGCAGATGAGCTCTGGGGCAGAGCTCAGCCCACATCCTCAGATGATGCCTCCCTAACACCAGGCAGAATCAACCAGATATCGGCCAAGGAAGAACGTGGGCTGTTGTCTTTCCCTCTTTTCAAAGCCTCACAAACTTCATGGAATCCCCCAATTTAACATTTCTTTTGATGGCTCAATCCTTATACACAACTGGGATGGTTTTACATTGTATTACCAGAAGCATTCTTTCAATCCGTTTTCGATAGCTGCAAATGAACAACTGAGTCAGATCTTAGGCCAACCAAAGTCTTCTGAACTTATGCCTCTGTTCCTCACACAGCCACCTGATTTCAACTGTTCTTTAGACTCTTTCTCTTTGATCACACATTATCCCAAATGCTGGGTAACCTTCCCAGAACTCTATTTTCATTATGTCATTCTTGGAACTTAAAATACCTCACCATTACCCAGAGGATTACATGCAAGTTCTTGAATCTGGCATCTGAGGAGCTCCATGACTTAGCCTCACCTTGCCTGGCCCACCCTCAGTCTCACAGGTTCTTTTCATGGCTGTCCTCTCCAGCAAGTCCACTCTCGTGTTAATGCCCACTTCAACAATCCATTCCTTTTTATGCCTACTAGACTTTGCTCCTTGAATTCCTCTCCCTCTGCCTCTTCACCAGCCTCAGTGGTATCCTTTCTTACTACCCCAGCTCAAGCCTCACGTCTCCCCGCAGCTCTTTCCAACAAAGCCTGCCAATAGAAAACTCTCAGTTCTTAGAACTCTGAGAAGGTAGCCTGGGATTATCTATCTATTTTGTGACCAGTATTTCAGCTCTCCAAATAATTATACATTATACAGAGATCATGCCTATGAGATTCATTTTTTCAACACTTATTGAGCACCCTCTCAGTGCCAAGCACTGTGGTGCACTGAGAAACAAGACATAGGCTCTAGGTACAAAAGTCTGAGGGTCACAAATGAAATATGTATTAGGTTGGACCATATGAAATTGTTTTTATAAAGCAAAAATGGTCAAATATTGGCAATTTAATTTGGTAGAAATAAAGAGAATGATCAAATCATGTAGTAAGATCAGGAGGGGAGGGGAGGTAGGTGTTTCCATGTTCTGGTTGGTAAAGAGACAGGAGCAGATGCCTTCTATGGTCCCCAGGGTAGGGTGGCAGCAGGGAAAGGGATGGGCCCAGCTCCAGAGCCTTGCAGACATGAGGGTATGAGCCAAGCTGAGGAAACCGGAATCAGAATAAGCCAGGAGGGACAGTGAGGGACAGAGAAGACAGCCTAGGAGTACAGAGGAGAGATGGCAGCTCATGCTAGGATAGGGTCTGAGGCTTTTTGGGAAGGCAATGAAATCTGTGCTGAGTCATATTGATGAGTCATAATGATATGGAATTATACAGCAAGGCAAGGATATTCTAAATACAGACAGCATTTTTAAAAGGCATGGAGGTAAGAAAGAGCAGGCAGATGGCAGGAGCTATGGCTGAATTGGGTTCCCCCAAATTTATATGTTGGAGTCAGATCCCCCAGTACCTCATAATATGACTATCTTTGGAGACAGGGCAGTTGAGGGGTTCAAGGGGTGGTTAAATTAAAATGAGGCTGTCAGGGTGGGTCTATTCCAATGTGACTAGTGTCCTTTAGGAAGAGCAGATTAAGACATACAGAGCGACATAAGGGATGCGCAAACACAGAGGAAAAGCCATGTGAGGACACAGCAAGAAGGTGGCTGTCACAATATGGAGTGTATATTTGCTTTTTGTCCTTGTTTCCTGTCATATAATTCCTAAAATCCTCTAGGTCTTCACAATTATACCTTTGTATGCTAATGAGTTGATGGGTGGCTGGCAGCCCTAGGTAGCTTCAGGAGGGGCTGGTCACCAGAAAGACCAACCTCCAGGGAGAAGACAGGGGTAAAGGTCAAGTTGACCACCAAAGGCCAATGGTTTGATGAATCATATCTGTATAATGAAATCTCCATGAAAACCCAAAAGGACAAGGTGAGGAGAGCTTCTGAACACAGGGAGGGGGCACATCTGCGGAGGGCAGGGAAGCCCCATGCCCCTTCCCTCATACCTCACCCTATGCATCTCTTCACCTGTATCCTTTGTAATATCTTTATAATAAATGAGTAAATGTGAGTGTTTCCCTGAGTTCTGTGAGCTGTGCTAGCAAATTAATAAACCCAAAGCGCCAGTCATGGGAACCCCAATCTATAGCTCAGGGTGGACCACCCGGGGTGTGTGACTGATGTTGGAGGTGGAGGGCAGTCTTACAGAACTGAGCCCTCACTCCATGGGATCTGATAACCTGGATGGTGTCAGAATGAAAGTGAATTAGAGGGCTCCCAGCTGGTGTCCACTACATAAGTCACTGTTTGCTTGGTGTGTGGGGAAACCTTCCACACGTTTGGTCACAGAAGGCTTCTGTGTTGATGGTTGTGGGGTGAGAGCAGATGTAAAACAGTTTGTTTTTTCTCCTCAGTGACTACAAGGCAAGGACGGAGGCCTCAGAAGAAACCAAATCTGTCGACACCTTGATCTGGGACTCCTGGCCTCCAGAACTGTGAGAAGATAAATTTCTATTGGCCTTCAGTATCTTACTATGACAGCCCAAGCTGACCACCACAGTAGGGGTCTCTGAGCTACCTAGAGGATAAAGCAAAGAAGAGATGAGATGAGGGAACAGAGGTGATGTGCAGGGACTTGCATGCCACACTAAGGGGCTTGAAGATTTTCCTGCAGGTGAGGGGAAGCTTTCGGAGGGTTTTAGCAAGGAGGTGGCAGAACCATGAGGTGTTTGAAGGAGAGCTCTCTGGTGGCAGCAAGGAAGGGCAAGGCCAGATGTATAAAACATTTTGGGGTTGGTGGACTGTTATGAGCAAGTAGTGAAGAGAGAGTGGTATTGGGGTGAAGAAGAGGAGCTGAATTGAGGAAGACCTCAGGAAATGAAATTGGTGGCAATGGCTCCAGGGAGGAGTGAAGGAGAGGCAGGAGCTGGAGCTCCCAGGCTCCTACCCTGCTGTGGGTGGATCTGTGCCCCCAGTGATGAGTTCAACACTACAGGAGGGGAGCAGATGAAGTGGGGTAGAGGGGATGACCAGTAAGAGATGCCTGTGGGGTAAACAGGAGAGATGTCAATGGGGAGTTAAGCATTCACAATTGATCTTTAGAGAGAGCAAGGCTACCAGTGGAGACCCAGGAGGCTTTGGCTTAGAAGGGGGTATGGCTGGCCATGTCCACACCCCACCCATGTGCACAGCAGCCTTTGGCATGCTCTCTGAGACTCAGGGGTGGCCCTCAGGTTGCCTGAGCCTGTCTTTCAAATTAACACACAGCAATGGAAGCACCTGGGACTGTACATTTTTCCAACCAATGAGATGAGTGCAGGGGCACATGCATTCTGTGGGGTCCACTGCCTGATGGAACAACTGAGGGTGACCCATGCTTCCTCCAGAGTAACCCTACATGACCTGGCCTGATATCATGGCACCCTGGCTTGGCCTCCTCTTCTTCTCACTTCCATTTCCCTTCCCTTTCCACCTCCTGGGGACATATATTAGTCTGTTCCTGAATTGCCATAAAGAAACACGTGAGACGGGGTAATTTATAAAGAAAAGAGGTTTAATTGGCTCATGATTCCCCAAGGCTATACAAGAAACATGATGCTGGCATTTGCTCAGCTCCTGGGGAGGCCTCAGGAAACTTACAATTATGGCAGAAGGCAAAGGGGAAGCAGGACATCTTATGTGGCTGGGGCAGGAGGGAGAGTTGGTGGGGGAAGGTACCACACACTTTTGAACAACCAGAGCTCATGAGAACTCACTATTGTGACCACAGCACCAAGGGGGGATGGTGTTAAACCATGACAAACCACCTCTGTGATCCAATCACCTTCCCCCAGACTCCACCTCCAACACTGGGGATTGTAATTCAACATGAGATTGGGGTGGGGACACAGAGCCAAACCATATCAGAATATTTTCTAATAAATCTCTTTCCCCTATGCCTTGTGTCACGGTCTGAGCCTGGGGAATCCCACCTAAGATAGGGGTTTAGGTGAGATCTCTCTGGGAGGACAAGCAGCCAAGTGTGGAGGTCCCAAGGAAGACCAGCCCTAAAGACACAGGCAGGCAAAGGGCAGACCTCAAAGGAGATGGAGGAGGAATGGCAGAGGGGAAAGAGGAGTCAGGCAAGGGACTGCCATAAAAGTCAGTGACGGAAACTTCCAGAAGAGCTGTCAAACAGTACCAAACAAAACAGAGGAGTCTAATAAGATTAACAATAAAATTTGCTTCCAGAATCCAGTGACTATCAGGGCACAATGAGCCAAGGGAAAAAGAATTTCCCGACACTGGTGAGAGCAGATTGCAAATTCCAGAGGACTGGAAGTTTTTAAGAGCTCTGGGAATGGAAACAAGTGTTTTGATAATAGATGAGGGTGCTGAATTTAAAGGAGAGATTATTATTATTATTATTATTATTTTTGAGACAGAGTTTCGCTCTTGTTACCCAGGCTGGAGTGCAATGGCGCGATCTCAGCTCACCGCAACCTCCGCCTTAAAGGAGAGATTATTAAGGATAGGAGAGGCTGGGTGTGGTGGCTCGCACCAGTGGTCCTAGGTACTTGGGAGGCTGATGCAGCAGGATCGCCTGAGCCTGGGAGGCAGAGGTTGCAGTGAGCCAAAACCATGCCACTAAACTCCAGCTTGGTCAACAGAGGCAGATCCCACTTCCAAAAAAAAAAGACAGGAGAAGTGTCTGAGCATAGTTAGGGAAGTGAGGGAAGGCTAAGGACAGAGGATAGGGTAGCGAAAGAGCCAGGTCCTGATGGAGGAAGGCCTCTGGTGGCTGGTGCACTGGGCAGGGGCCCTGGGACAATTCCCTTTTGGAGCTTGCCCCCAGCAAAGCAGATGAAACTGAGATTTTCCTCTCTACTTACCAGACTCATTTTGGAAGCCTGCAAGCTTTCAATTTAAAAATAAGATGGTATGAATCAATAAAAATGTAGCTAATTAAATTCAGGTATGAATGACATGTTAAAATATGAGGATATGCTTGGCTTGCATCAAGAGAATTAAAAAGGGCTGTCTGCCCTTCTTGGTAAGCAACAAGACTCCACCCAGGTAATCCCATAAAAGAGAAGGCTCCATGGTGCTCCAGCAGCACACAAAGGAAACTGGATGGTGATTCTAGGCTGAGTCACCATCGTCATGCCTGTGGGTGCCTGCGAAGGGACAGACTACTGTCCTCCCTGAAAGGACAGGACGAATGCCAGCCCATGGTCCAAAGTGATGAGTGCCTCATTTTCCCATTCTGTCTGCCTCCTTCTTCCCCTTCTTCCTCAAAGGGAGAGTGTTCAATTCTATGAAACTGTGTCAGGCACATGCACTTCCAGCTCTACCCTGAAACTAGCAATTAAACTTTAGCCGTACTAAGGAAGACAGAATGTCACGTGGGCAGATACGAATGTAGATGCATTTACAGGGTAGATACGAATGTAGATGCATTTACAGGATCAAAAGAAGAACATAACTGATGGCCTCAGTTTTCCCAGCAGAGCAGGAGGCAAGAAAAGGCAGGGGGAACAGGAAGGTCTAGAATAAACACTGATGGCCTGGGAAAAGGAAGCTGACCCAGGAAGAGTGAAAGGATTTATTCGTGGTCCATGTTAGAGGCTTCCAATCTTGAGAGAGAAGAGCAGCAGAGGAAGGTGAACCTGGGGGCTAGAAGCAAGTGTATGGCTGTACGCAGGACTCTCCAAGAAGGGCAGCTTTCCCATGAAGAAGGCTGCTGTCCCTGAGAATACATATGTCCCCACATGCGGGCGGAAAAGACTGCTGTGTTCTTTGGGGATTAGAAATAAAAATTTTAAGAAAAATCCTAGAAGTGAAAACTTCAAGTATATAGAGGTTTACACACAGAAGACTTAATTAAAAAGCCTTCCTATTTTAAGTGGAATGTGCAATGCTTAGGCATCATACACATTTGCAGAACACTGGTGGCATACAGACTTTATTTTGGCTGTGGATAGGGTTACATACTTGGGGTTTTTCCCTTAGGACTAAGGGATGTTTTTGTGATCTAGGATTGAGGCATTCAGGACTAAGGTTAGAGAAAGATGCCCGCATTTATCTAGCATTGTATCAAAGTGGAGGCAGCAGCTAAGATTAAGAGTTCCATAGACTCCTGCCTGTCAGCACCTCCTTAAAGTGATACATTTCAATGTTTTTCTCAGCAGGACCTTGACTTTAACAATGAATCCAGAAAAAAAAGGGAAGTCATAATAAATTACAAACAATAAAAAGCAACAGAGATTCCTTCTGACCCTCCCACCTTAGCTCGTCCATCCCTGGGGCCTGTCAGAGTGTGCTAACTGGAAGTACTTAGGCAGAGGCTGCCAGAATCCAGCTGCATCCCGGAGACAGGAGGCATGGCGAGCGTTTTGGAAGCACCCGTGCATTTCTGGCAAGAGCCACCACTGCTGCACAGGTCAGGAGGGGACCTCGTAGGCAGGGGACGAACAACAGGAGAAAGCAGAGCAGTGGCAGGACAGAAAGAAACACTGAAATCAGACTTTGCCTGGAGAACAGTTCTGCCCAGGGCCAGAGAGGAGAGGAATAGTCTGGGAGCATCCCTGGGGTCTCATGTGTGGGAAAGACATCTTTAATAATTAACAAATGAAAAAAGGCATGGAGTCATTCATGTGACCCCTAACATTTTGAAACTGAGCAAATCACCTTGCTTCGGAAGCCTGTAGCCATATTACAGGCTCTTCAGCCAATGAAGGCTGAGAAGGCTAGGAAAACACAAGAAAACTGTAACGAATGACACAAGGAAGTCAACCTCAGACACATCTGCTGCCAAGGAAACACAACAAAGTCAATGTCATAAACATCTGGGCTGGGTACGGTGGTTCATGCCTGTAATCCCAGCACTTTGGGAGGCCGAGGCAGGCAGATCACCTGAGGTCAGTAGTTTGAGACTGGTCTGGCCAACATGGTAAAACCCTGTCTCTATTAAAAATACAAAAATTAGCTGGGCTTGGTGGCACATGCCTATAGTCCCAGCTGCCTGGGATGCTGAAGTAAGAGAATCCCTTGAACCCAGGAGGCAGAGGTTGCTGTGAGCAGAGATCATGCCATTGTACTCCAGCGTGGGTGACAGAGCAAGACTCTGTCTTAAAAAAAGAAAAGAAAAAAAGACACATTCAGTGAGACCCATGACTCAGTGGATGCATGGAAGTCACAAATAGAAGCCTGTTCTTATAAATTGCTAAAATTAGTAAGTCAGAGGCAAACAAAATTTTAGTTTTCCTCTTCTCACTTTGTTAATACTCCAGTATCTATAACCAACAGAATGTTGAGTTTTCCTTTTTCTCAGTATTTTGAAAATAATAAGACATATACTTCACATGTTAAAAGATAAAAGATGCTTGGACAAAGGATACTTTTTACCCTGACCTGTATGTCCCTAAATTCAAGATACTCACAGTTTTCTTTTTTTTTTTTTTTTTTTTTTTTTTAAATGCAACTAAATACTCTCTCAGTTCCTTGAAGGCAGGAATATGGTATAGGGAAATGAGAAGAGTTTCAATCCCTGGGTTCAAATCCCTGTTCTCCTCTTTATCAGCTAGAGGAGGTTAGACACATTATTAAGTCTTCTGAGCCTTGGGCCATTGAAGTAAAGATGTTAACCTGCAAGCAAAGAAAGGTGAGAAAGGACTGGCCACAGAGACAGAGGGAACTCAGGAGAGTAAGACACAGGGAAGCCAGGAGGAGAAAGTGCTTTAAGAAGAAAAGTGTTTTTAGGAGAGTGGTCAACCATGTTGAACTGTCCTGCAAAGATCCTAAGAGAAGTTTCCACTGTGTCTGCCAACATGTGGAAACCTATCAAGATACACACCAAGACTTTTAAATTGTTTTGGCCCATCATTTCAAGACCATGGGGCATCTTAAAAGGAAAAACAAGATAGCATCCCAAGGTCTCATTGAAAACAAAATCTAAGAACATAATTTTTACAAGTCTCATTCTTCCTTTTACTTAAAATAATTTCTAGGTTCTCTGCGTCCATTTAAGGGAGGATTCTAGGGGATGGGAGTAAACGAAACCTAGACTGTATAATTCAGGGTAGGTTCAGAAACATTTCCTCCTCATTGTAAGCGCATCTGATAACAATATTTTCCTTACTGATTGCAGTAAGCCTTTCAAATGCAGTCAATTCATGGTTAGCCTAAATTTAGGCAAACACAATTTCTGAATACTAACACAAAGAAAAGCAAATGCCATAAAAAGCTGTCTAGCACGAAGGTCTAAAAATACTAGATTGTTCTCCAAACTTTACACACAAAGGAAAAGATCTTGGCCATCAGAGGCTGAGTTGACTCCATGGAAGCCAGAGATAAGGCCCCCCTCATATGTGAAATGGCTTCCCAGGGTGCAGTCTTTCTTCCAAGTTGGAAACACATTTCATCAAAACTCATATTAATTATGATGCCCTACCCCCCACTTTAGGACTATGGTTATGCAGACATGGAGAATGGAGCTGACCTCTCAGTTGGAGGGACTGAACCTGTAAGAGGTGAAGGGATTTGCACAGTGAAGCAGCTCACAGGTAAGCATGCTCCTGGGCCCCCTACCTGAAAGCAGACCTCTGTGGCCCTCATCTCCCTCTGCTGCCTTCCCAGTCCTGCTTCCTGAGCCAGCACAATTCCTCACTGGCTATACTCACTGGCTCTGTCCACTTCAGCCTGGCTTCCTTTTCCACCAGCCATGTAGTCCCACTTCTCTGTCACTCCCCTTCATCCCTCAGGCAGCATCCAACATCAGCTACTCCCACCTGCTTCCCTCAGCTTCTTTTCTGGCTTCCATGGCCCTGATGCCCTGGTTTTCTCTGGGTAAACACATGATGGTTTCCCCAGAATCCTTTGTTGGCTTCCCCTCTTCCTCCTGACCTCTTCTCTCACTTTCCCCTCTCCCTGGGGATTTCACTGTGTTCAGGATGTAAAGGGTTTTATAGGCTGAATGTTCCAGTCTCTCCAATGAGCTTCTGACTTGCAGTCTCCAAAGTTCATAATATTAAATACCTGCTGGTCATCACAAACGACACATGCAAAGCTGGAAACTTTATTTTCCTTCCAAGCTCCTCCCCATGTCTTTACCATCACATAAACGGGATCACCATTTACCCAACTGCTCGACTCAAAAACCTCAAAGTCATTCTGGATACACTCATTTTCCTCTGCTCCACATTCAATCAACCAAAGACCTGCCAGTTCCATGGCCAAAACACATCTCAAATAGATCTGCTTCTTGCATCTGTCACTGCCTCCCCAGGGCCTCTTGCGTGGACCACTGTAACGCTTCAGCCATCCTCCTGGTTTTCTGTCGGCTGCCTGCCGTGCTCTCCACACAGCAGCAGAGCAGCACTATACAAACACTGGGCAGATCATGCCACCTTCCTGCTGAAGGTCCTGGAGCAGCTTCTGCAAAACTTGGAGAAAAGTTCATGTGACCTGGCTCCTGCCTACCTCTCTTGGCCCTGCCCTCAGTCCCCTTTCCAGCCACATTGCCCTTCTTTCTGTCCTCAAGGCACACTAAGGTCTTTCCTGCCCCAGGCAGGCTATGGACAAGGCAGCTCATGTTCAGAGAGAAATTCCCCCACCTCCTTACTTGCTGCCCTCCAGTTAGCATGGACATCACTGAGTGGTCTGCTTACACTGCTGTGCACTACCTGTGACCAGCCGGTACATGCAGCCGTGTCCCTGCTAAATGGAAGCTCCTTGACAGCAGGGGCCGTGTCCACATTGGCCATAGGGGTAGCAGTCCTGCCTGGCTCAGTCAGCACTGGCCTAGGGAACAGATGCAGGAACAGTGGCTTTGGGGTGGGAACACAGGTCTCCTGGCTCCTGGCCTGCTGCACTTCCCTCTGCTAGATCTGCCTTTCCGAAACAATGGATGAGTCAACTTGGGAGGCCGCCTTAGCGTGCAAGCACAGGGAACTTTGCCGTGGGAAGGGTGCAGCCTGCCACACCCGATGTTCTGCAGTGCTGCACAAAAGCCCCAGCCAGCTCCCTCCCTGGGGTGCATTTACATTAAGCTTTAGTCACAGTCAGGCAGAGTGGGGGTGCTCATTTAAAAACAAACCATAACAGTAGATCCATCCAAGGCAGGCCTCTGCCCAGGAAGGTAGAGGGGCCTTCAGGGCAGCCATCTAAGAATGGGTGAGGAGAGGGGCAGTTCCTGGATGGCTGTCCCTCCCCACCTGTTGGATGGCAGGTTCCAAGCACTTGAGTCTAGTCAAGAGGGGGTGGATGGAAGCTTCTGTTGCCATAGCAATCACAGTGCTCCTGCAGCCTAGGCACCAGCTTTCAGATAACCATTTGGCAAAGAAAAGGAGCAAAGCAGAGAGGGACAAACATGGAAAATGGTATGAAATAATGTCAGGAAATAATCTTGCACGCCACAAGCCACAGTCTACAAACAAAACTCAGGAGCCGGCTGTGGAATCCTGCTGCAGGGGAGAGCAGCACAGGCTTCCTGCTGGCTTACAGTGGAAACAAAAGGCCCCATTGACACACACATCTGTGACCACTAAACACTTAGAAATCAATATTTTCCTAAAGATTTTTCCCCCTTTGGCTTTATAGGGTTACTGCCTACCAGGCTGCCAAACCCCAACTCTCACCACGTCCACAGCCACCACATGAAGTGACTATTAGAACTTCAAATGAAGGATCTGACCCCGGAAATGGCCCCATGCTAGTTTTTCCTAAACAGTCACCAGAAAAATGTCAGAAGGCAAATCAAAATGCACACTCTGAAAGAGAATATAACCATCACATCTTGGGGGAGAAGGAGCACACCCCAACTTAATTTAAAAAGGAAGCACAGCAGATGCAGTCAGTTGGCCGGGAAGTGTCTTAAAGGAAAGAAGGAAGGGATGGAGCCTCACCTTAACACCTGCATCTCCTCAGGGGAGCACCGCATCTCGTCCTGGAGGCGACGCCAGCGCAGGCAAGCCCTCAGCTCCTGTTGCTCCCGGGCCTCACGTGGGTCCAGCTGCTTAGCCATAGACACACAAACACATATGCACAAAACACAGTCACCATTGTGGTCCTGGTGAAATGGCTCGCTTTGTTTCAATGGGGAATGACATAGCCTGCCCCCTGCTCTCACCTTGCTCCCATCAGAAACCTAAGGGCCACTGGAGCCTCTTAGCGCCTAAAACAAAAAATCCACCATGCACGCTCGCTTGTGCTGCTGGTGGTGGAGCTGGGCCTGCTGTTTGGCAGAGGTTGCCTTGTTCTGGAACCCACCCATCCCCCCGACACACACCTGGTCTGGAGACAGTGGGCTTCCCTTGGGCCATTTCCACTTTGATCTCATCCAGTCCTTTTTTCCTTCTTTGTCTTTCTGCACAGGGTGGGAAAGGCCCCACCGTTCACCTGTGATTTTCCACAGCCCTCAATTTTGTTATGGACTGTTTCCAGTGGGGCCTGCTAATGCAGCCCAGATGATTCTGTGTGCACGTAACTAGAAGACGTGCTGGCTGGACTAACTCTAGAGGAGGGGAGGCTGTCGCACTCTGCCCTACTGAGTCAGAACCAGCTGCCATCCCACTGTGGGCTCACCAGGCCACATGGCCCAGACCTCTGTGAGGGAGGGTAGCAGAGCACCCACTGGGGAGGGAGATGTCTATCCACGGGGGTTTCTGGAAATCAAAGTTTCCTTATAACTCATGCAACAGATATTTACTGAGTCTCTGCCTGGCCCTGGGGATGTTACAGACAGGGCCTGGGGGAGCAGCCAAGGGAGGGAGAGATGGGGGAGGAAAACTAACATCAGAGAGCAGGTGATGGGAGAGGTGAAGCCCCCTTGCCCACCAGGGCTTCCTGAGGAGGTGGTGGTGACAGCACTGGTCTTCAGGGAAGCAAGAGTCAGCCAGAGAGGAGGAATTTCGGGAAGAGAAAAAACACTTGCAAGGCACATGGGGCCAGGCAAATGTGTGATGTGCTTAGAGAAGGCAAGGGACGTAGTCAAGCCTAGAGCAGACTAACAGTCCAGGAGGGAGCGAGGGGCAGGGAAACTGGCCAAGGTAACATGATCCTCAGACCCCAGTGCCTGCTGTTATGGACAAAACTATGTCTCTGCAAAATAGACGTCTTGAAGGCCTGACCCTGGTGTGTCTGTATTTGGAGATAGGGCCTTCAAGGAGGTCATTAAGGTTAAACGAGTCGTGAGTTGGGCCCTAATCCTGTAGGGCTGGTGTTTGTATAAGAAGAGGGAGAGCCAACAGATGTCTTTCTCTCCACATGCACAGAGGAGAGGCCATGTGAGAATGAAGAGAAAAAGCAGCTGGTGACTGTCTACAAGCCAGGAAGAGAGAGGACCCTCAGCAGAAACCAACCCAGTTGGCACCTTGGTCTTGGACTTCCAGCCTCCAGAACTGTGAGAAATAAATGGCTGTCATTTAAGCCTCCCAGTCTCTGGTATTTATTATGGCAGTCCCAGTAGACTAATATGCCTGTGAAGGCATTTAGACTTTCTCTAGGTTGATGACAAGTTCTACCATCCAACCTTGCGACTGACTCGATTCATGAATCCCTGTGGTGCCTCTCTGAGTGGATGGCAGTCTCCATCTCCTTGTTGGGGAGGATCCCGTGTTGGGGATCTCCTTGTTGGGTAGGATTTCACAGGCTGCCCACACCCCCGCCATGCCCCACCCCTGGCCCCTACCACTCAGTGCTGCAGAGTGCAGTCTACGAGGTGGCAAAGTGACCCCAGTGACCACTGCCACCCTGAGACCTCATGCCCTGCTCCCTGGTGGGATCTGCTGACCAGGAGCAGCCCAGGAGGTGGCATAACCACCCCTGCCCCACAGGGCACTCCCCGACTCCCTGGAAGGTCTGAGGCAGGCACTCACCAGGGCCAGCAACAGCCTCAGTCTCACCCTTCAAGGGAGAGGTCGGCCTGACGGACATGCTCTGGAAATGTCTCGAACTTTGTGCTGGAATCTAGAATGGCCATTTTGCCTCAAGGGTGTTCATGTTTTTGCATCTCAAAGATTTACTGCACATCCAAGGATGATGAGGGGGCTGACCCTTATCATGTTAAGGGAAAGGAGTGACAGAGAAAGCCTAGCTCCTGCTGTCCCTTTAGGCTCACAACGTAAGCCACCACCTCCACAAAGGCTTTCTGGACCCACCCAGACCTGTTCTCCCCTACCTGGGAACTCTGAGGATATTTGGTGTTTACTTCTTTTAGCAAACTTACCAGTCAAGAGGCAGGATCAAGCCAGCAGACTAAGGAGTGGCCTCCTAGAAATGGCAAAGGAAAGGGTAAAGGAGGGGCACTTTTTGGGGGATGCAGGAGATAAAGACAGAGGTGTTATGACCAGATGTCTGAAATGCACTACAATTGCCAGGACCAGCGTGTATCTGATAGTCTCAGAAGGGCAGCACTCCAGGGAAGAGACGGCGATAGAGGCACCCCCTGCTGCGTGTCTGTGTATAAGGCAGAGGGAAACATAAAGAGGAAGGGAACAGGGATTTTTTTTTTTTTTTTTGGAGACTTGTTTTACTTTGAGAGTGGAAAATTTTGCCAGGGACAAAGTTAACACAAAGAAACAACAAAAAATCGCCAAAAGAGAACAGTTAAGTGCAGCTCGGTGAGTCCCGGCAGTTCCTTCCCAGCACCAGCTCGGCCCTGGACTCTCAGGGCCACAGCGTCCGTCCACCTGTCCACATGAGCCACATGCTGAAATGGAGGTGGATGAAATTCATCAGGCAGCTGCTGTAACATGGAAACGTGCAGGTGCCACAGAGTAGCTTCATCTGAACTTTAACAAGACAGACAAAAGGAAATCATTCCATAGGCTGAAAACAAAAACCTACGTTGTTTCTTTTCCCCAAATGAAATCCACTGAAAGGTCCTGTGTGATTCCAAAAGTCTGAGTAGAAATGGAGTGATGTGAAATGCCCAAGACCCCATGATTCTGTAAAGAAACTACACCTCAAAATACTCTAATTCCATATGTGAGCAATGGTGGTTTCTCACAGTACTTGGTGCTTACCTGTTTCCTCATTTTTTTTTCCTTTCCTTCTATGTCATTTCCTTGTCCTCACACCTGGACTATGACTGCTTTAAATTGGAGCTGGGTCTTGCTTTTCACACCCTGGCTGTGGACCCAGCAGTGTGCACATCAGTGTCTCCTGCCACATGGAGTCCTGTGAGGAGAGGCCACATGGTAGATACAGGAAAGGTGCTGGTCTCTGAGTCAGAGAGACTTCCAGTCCCAGCTCTGCCATTTACCAGCTCTGCGTGTATAGGTAGGTTAAGTCGCCTCCCCAAGCCTCCGTTTCCCTGTTTGTAGAATGGGTACAACAGTTCTGAAGCTTTCAGGGTAAATGGGATCGGGTATGAATGAGCTTAGCACAGCGCCCCACATGTGGAGTGTGCAAGAAATCCCTGTTCCCTTCCTTTTTATGTTTCCCTCTGCCTTATACACAGACACGCAGCAGGGGGTGCCTCTATCGCCGTCTCTTCCCTGGAGTGCTTCCCTTCTGAGACTATCAGATTCAGACTGGTCCTGGCAATTGTAGTGCATTTCAGATATCTGGTCATAACACCTCTGTCTTTATCTCCTGCATCCCCCAAAAAGTGCCCCTCCTTTACCCTTTCCTTTGCCATTTCTAGGAAGCCACTCCTTAGTCTGCTGGCTTGATCCTGCCTCTTGACTGGTAAGTTTGCTAAAAGAAGTAAACACCAAATATCCTCAGAGTTCCCAGGTAGGGGAGAACAGGTCTGGGTGGGTCCAGAAAGCCTTTGTGGAGGTGGTGGCTTACGTTGTGAGCCTAAAGGGACAGCAGGAGCTAGGCTTTCTCTGTCACTCCTTTCCCTTAACATGATAAGGGTCAGCCCCCTCATCATCCTTGGATGTGCAGTAAATCTTTGAGATGCAAAAACATGAACACCCTTGAGGCAAAATGGCCATTCTAGATTCCAGCACAAAGTTCGAGACATTTCCAGAGCATGTCCGTCAGGCCGACCTCTCCCTTGAAGGGTGAGACTGAGGCTGTTGCTGGCCCTGGTGAGTGCCTGCCTCAGACCTTCCAGGGAGTCAGGAAGTGCCCTGTGGGGCAAGGGTGGTTATGCCACCTCCTGGGCTGCTCCTGGTCAGCAGATCCCACCAGGGAGCAGGGCATGAGGTCTCAGGGTGGCAGTGGTCACTGGGGTCACTTTGCCACCTCGTAGACTGCACTCTGCAGCACTGAGTGGTAGGGGCCAGGGGTGGGGCATGGCGGGGGGGTGGGCAGCCTGTGAAATCCTACCCAACAAGAAGATCCCCAACACGGGATCCTCCCCAACAAGGAGATGGAGACTGCCATCCACTCAGAGAGGCACCACAGGGATTCATGAATCGAGTCAGTCGCAAGGTTGGATGGTAGAACTTGTCATCAACCTAGAGAAAGTCTAGTGCTGAATTATGAGTCAGGCAATCAGTCTGGGCTATCTAGAGATGGTGACTTCCAGCTGGCTAGCGAAAAATAAGTGATTTCGGCAAAGGACCTTGAACAAAATCATGCAGATATGCACAAACTTGGGAATTTTGGAAAATGCCAAATAGTCCAGTGTATAAGCGGCAGGGATGACAGGGGGAAAAAAAGTGACCCAAATATTAGGAACTTGAAAGTGAGCACAAAGCAGTTTGGTTGCTCACTATCCTCATTAGAACTGGTGGCCAGGCCAGGCACGGTGGCTCACACCTGTAATTCTAGCACTTTGGGAGGCCAAGGCGGGTGGATCACCTGAGGTCGGGATTACAGGTGGTGCATGCCTGTAATCCCAGCTACTCAGGAGACTGAGGCAGGAGAATAGCTTGAACCCAGGAGGCAGAGGTTGCAGTGAGCCGAGATATTGCCATTGCACTCCAGTGTGAGTGACAAGAGCAAAACTCCACCTCACAAAAAAAAAAAAAAAAAAAAAAAAAGAACTGGTGGCTGCTGGGCGTGGTAGCTCACACCTGTAATCCAAGCATTTTGGAGGCCAAGGTGGGCAGATCACTTGAGGTTGGGAGTTCAAGACCAGCCTGACCAACGTGGTGAAACCCCATCTTCAAAAAAAAAAGAACTGGTGGCCAATGTTTTTTTTTGTTTGTTTGTTTGTTTTGCCAATCAGTTTGAGCTTATGAGGTTGCTCAGGTTAGCCTTGAACTGATGACCTCACCTTCGCAAGCGCCATGACCTCTGGCGGGAGCTACTTTGGACCCCGACCAATGTTTTAAGTTGCAAACTGAGAGCGTGTGCACCATCTCTGGTTTCTGGGTATGGTTGTCTTGTGTGGTATTTTTTAGTAATTAGTAAACTTCACATAAAAATCCAGATTTATAAATTACCTTAAAAAGCTAACAGTGTAGGTTATATTGGGCCCTCCTCCCTTCACCATGACAATTGGTTATAGCTGAGTAGCAGCTGTCAGTTTGCCATAGTCCTCGCCATTCCCTAATCTATACCCCACCCCTGCTTCATTCTTCATTCATTACTTATAAGCAGGCATCTGGATTTATGTTTTGCTCTCTTTATTTAAAACATGCACACACACATACACAATGCACACACACACATCACCACAATTACAACCATAAAGAAGTGCTTGAGTATGCCATAGCATGACCTTTTCTTCACACCTCTGCTCAAATATCTCCTTAATCAGAGAGGCCTTCTCTTACTACCTTCTAAAATAGAATTCACTGCCCCTCTATGGGGCTCATTTTTCTTCATAGTACTCCACCACTTGACCCATTTCTGATTCACTTGTTTGTCTGCTCTCTCTCCCATCTCTAGACTGTAAATCCTGTGGGGAGAAGGGGCTTCCCTCTCTTTTTTATGCAGCCATTTCCCCAGCAAAATCTGTGCCTCCTGCATAATAGGCCCTCAGTCCACAGGTGCTGGATGAATGAATGACTAGAAATGGAATTTGACTCTGGATAGTGAAATGCTTAGGCTCACTTTAACCCACCTGCTGTGCCGCAGCCCAAAACACATCCTCCAAGTGAGTGGCAAAGCCTTCACTCAGCCACTCCTCCGTCCAGTCGCGGGCCCCAATGGCTAGGCCAAACCAGGCATGGGCAATTTCATGGCAGAGGCGGGTCCCACAGAGATGGCTCCTTCCTGTCAAGATGCTCTGAGAGAGGAACACGATGTGTGGGCTGTGGATAATGGGGGAGAAAATGCACAGTGTCTTGTTAGAGCCTGTCCTCGTGGCCATCCCAGGGGGCAGCGTGCCTAGCCTGGTGAGCTTGTTATTATCGTGAGCATGCTAGATCATGACTGATAGGCTTGCGGCTTAGATGCTTTCAGACATAAATAAAGTGGCAGTTTATGTTTCTGGCTGCAGTTCAGGTGGCCGTTTCTGCCAAGCAGTTGTCTCTGTCATCAAACAGCTATTACCTGTAATAAGTAACCTGCACCAAAGTTTTACACTCAGAAAAAAATTACAAGGCAATGGAAGCATTTACTCTGAAATCTAGACTCTAAAAGAAGAGCAGGTGTGACAGTGTGAAGCCCATGCTGTTGGGAGCGTGATCAAAGAAGACCCTTCAGTCAAACGTCTGAGCAGCTTACAAACAAATTGAGAAGTCATGCAGAAAGATAGAAAAAACAAGAAGAATGGAGCGAAAATGTTTCCATTCCACATGGGAGCTGGCTATTATGTTAACAAACCAGCACGTGCCAGGGATGGGTGAAGTTTCCAGGAGGCCCGAATAAAGGGCGAGCCTGTGTAATGCAAAGCTTTCTGTTCTATCTACAGGTGCTTATGGACTCACATGACAGAACAAAAACATGCTGAGAGAGAGAAAGAAGGCAGGGAGTCAACCCACCCAGGTGTGCAAATGGCCCCAGGACTGGCACCAGACAGAAAGATTTATCTAATCTCATTTTCCATATCTGTGTTAAAATCCAAAATACCACCGTTAAAACTGCACAGATGAAATGGGAAGCAGAGGAGCTGATGAAAGAAAAGGCCCAACAAATACCTTCCATGCCGCCCCCTTCAGCAATTATCTTTTCCAGGATTGTTTACAGTCTTCCTAATGAAGAATTTGCTCTTGAAAAATCTCTTCTCTGTCAGTTGAACAAAAACAGTTGTGAAACCTTCCAAATTGGGAAACTGTACACACGGGTTCCTCCTTTCAAGTCATTTGTTTGCCATCATGTGGGCTCGGCACAAGCCAAGGCTGCTCACAGGTTTTCCTTCCACTCCCACAGCCCCCATTAGAGAAAACCCCACCTAGAGTTCCCTTACACATCACCCATTCAGCTCAGAGAGCTCAACTGCAATCATGGTAGTCACATCTGCCAAAACAGACAGCTTTCATGTGGAGTAATAACAGGGCAGGCATGCAAATGAAGAAGCGTCTGCCAGGTGCTCCGCAGAGGACACTAGAAACCCCAGAAATTACACGTGGAGTTGGGGCACTCAGGACAAAGCAGTGCAATGCAACAGGCACCAGCAGTATTGTTCAGAGCACTAACTCGGGGAAAAAAAGGACAAGGAAGGAAGGAACTGAGAGACACAGGAACTCAACTCCCCTAACTGAGAAAGTCACCCTGTTGAGAAGACCAACTGTGCAACCTGGCATTTTCAAGTAAATGGCTTTGGCATGCGCAATGCTACAAAGAAAAGCCACAGAAATGTACCAAGTAAATAACATTCCAGACATACTGCTGGCAGCAGTTCACCCTTTGGGCTAAAACAAAACAGAAGTAACTTCAGGCCTTATAAACAGGCTCGAGGACAAGCTTGCATGGGCAGGGTCTGCAGCCAGAGAGACAGACGTGCCAGTCCTTACTGAGACTGGAGGGCGGACTCCAGCCAGGACGTTTCCACAAGCAAATGGCTGCAAAATGGCTGTGAGACTATTCATGAAGAAAAAGCCTCCACTGTCCAGGGACCTGCCTGCTGTTCTGTCCCAGTGTGGAAGCCTCGCCGGGTGCCCATTTATGCAAATATAAAAGGCTGTGGGGGCCTGAAGGAATGCACAATAGCAGCCATGTGGGGGGTGGCACTTCTTTCTCCCACCCTTTCATTTTTTTCGCTTGCGCAGTCCTTGTTGTCTGCCCCAGACTCCTTCCCCACCCTTCAGTGTTCTGGGGACACCACCCTGGCCTCATTGCATCTTGCTTCATTTGGGACAGGGCTCAGCATTGCGAGAATTCCACCTATATTTCCCCTTCCTCTCCTCAATCCTTTCTTTGGAGCTGGGGGTAAAGTACTTCCTACTGTCCTCTGAGGGAGGCCAAGCCTGAACATCTCATGGTTCAGAAAGAAGGGCATCTTAACCGTGTAAATGACAGCACTATCTGCAGAAAACATGACCTTCTCCCTGAAAAGCAGTTTTCCTGCTGGGAAACCAAATGGAAAGCCTCTGGGGCCCGTCTGGCCCTCTAATGTTGAGTTTGACTTATTGGATACTTTGGGGCTATTTCCCTATGAAGGAAATGGCTTCTTTTCAAAACTAAACCAAAAACTAAGGGTTAGGTTTTGATAACCTTTCTCAAGGGCTGTTGACAAAATTCTGACATAAAAGGACCAAGAGCATATTCTTTCAAGGAGAATTTCCTTTCCTCCCTTGGACCCTAAATATCTGAATTTCTCATGTTAAGTAGACTTTTTTAACCTCATCTTTTTTTAGACTGCTTTTCTTCAACGGTGAGTGAAGAAAGGTCTAGTAATTCTCTTTAGCTCACTTCAAGGAAAAATATTAAGTATTTGTTTCCCAACAGATAATCTACCTCATGTCCACCCTCAAAACAGAATGGACGTGTAGAATGCTGCCCTCCGACCTCAGCCTGGGTTCATGGGCCCAGCCCGGCTCCTCCTCATCCCCGAACTCTCAGAACTGTCCTCACGGTCTGAGCCAGCCTGCCAGCGATCAGTCTTCCCCCTGACAAGGCTCACTGGAAAACTGTTTCTTTTTTTTCCCCTGAAAGGGTCTGTGTCAACTGCCTCTGCATATGCCAGACTGTCGATTTATCACCATTACTGAGAATGGAAGATAATCACTTCAACAACATCTTCATCCTAAAAATGTTTCTTACATTTTTTTTTAAGTCATAGTTTATTATTTAGGTAGGGAAGTGATATTTCAAATCTCAGAAAGCACAAGCCCTCTTGCTTCTATTCCCCACCACAAATTCTTTTTGGCTCCAAATGATGGAGGAGGAGGAGGAGGTGGCAGGCAGGTGGTGGCTTGCAGCCATACTCCCTGTGTTGTCATTCTTCCCCAGGAGACCACCACCTCTGGGGCCGCCTCCCCTCACAGAGGCCAAGCGTACTGCATGTCTGCTGCCTTGCCCCTTGAGATTAAAAATATCATGTCTGGTCTGAAAACAGTTTCTCAAGGCTGTTCCTGAACACTGCCTACCCACCCAGATTAGAAGGTTGCGTCTGTTAATCTAAAACATGTTTCTAGCAGAGGAGGAAGGAGGGTCTTCATTACTCCCAGGAGCTGCTCCCATCCTTCAGGAGGAATTCAATTTGGAGCGGAAATGGAGAGTTTCATCAGATCTTAAGTAGGAGCTGGTGTTTGATTTACTTCTGCTTTTTCCATGGAGCCCTGACCAGCATGGCCCATCTTGCTATGGAGGGAGTGACTCAGCACTCAGAGGCCCCCACTAGATGCTGCTGCCACAGCAGGTCCCAGCAGGGTGCAGGGGTGGAACCCAGAAGACAGGAAATTACTTACAATTAAGGACAAGAAGAGCCTCCAGGCCACCCTCCCATTTATGGGAGCAGACCCCAACTCCCCTCACAGAGAGCAAGTTTATTTTTCTTTTCTTTTTTGAGATGGAATTTCACTTTTGTGCCCAGGCTGGAGTGCAATGGTGCAATCTCAGCTCACTGCAACCTCCTCCTCCTGGGTTCAAGTGATTCTCCTGCCTCAGCCTCTTGAGTAGCTGGGATTATAGGCATGCACCACCACACCCAGCTAATTTTGTATTTTTTGTAGAGATGGGTTTCTCCATGTTGGTCAGGCTGGTCTGGAACTCCCGACCTCAGGTGATCCGCCCACCTCAGCCTCCCAAAGTGCTGGGATTACAGGTATGAGCCACCACATCTGGCTGCAAGTTTACTGTTCACACAGATTCACATGCTTATCACAATTTCAACAGTATGTGCAGCCCAATATCCCCTGATAGAGAAGATGGAAGAGCCCAGGGAGGGGGGAACCAGGCTCGTTTCCCTCTAAGGTCCAGCAGGATAGTTTTAAGGGTCTTATAATCATGGGCAATGGCTTCTGCTTGTGTGACTTCATTACTTGCTAATTTAAACTAGACAAATGAAACATAGACTCCTAGTAACCTGGGGCCATCCCTTTCAGGAAGGACAACTGTCGTACACCCCTCTTTGGTTCATGGCCTGTCTTCTCTTTCCTCCATCAGGTGTGAAGTGATGTCAACACTCTCACCAATGCATTTACAGACCGAATCCTCAGCCCCTGCCCCTTCTTCTAAATGAAATCCCTTAGTCCATCTCTCCTGAATCCAGTCTAATGTAGGGGATGCTTCTGTAGTCCTGAAGGCACAGGGGGAAGGGGGCCGGACATCCAGGCGGGACCCTCCTTCCTCAACTGCAGGGGAGGGACTCGGCATCTTCTGCTTTTCTCATCTGGCACCCACCCGACTGCAGTGTGTAATCTTTAAACAGGAGGCTGAGGAGATGATGGAATAGTCTTTTGGGAATATAGGACCTTCAGTAGCCTGAAGTGGAAGCCAGTACCAAAAACTTTAAGAAGACTTGCTACATCTGATCAGTGTGTATGGGGATCTGTGTTTGAAAGAAAAGCCTAAAGTTAGTAGAAGGATTTTCTTAAGAATTCTGGGCTGGGCGCGGTGGCTCACACCTATAATCCCAGCACCTTGGGAGGTTGAGGCGGGTGGATCACGAGGTCAAGAGATCGACACCATCCTGGTTAACATGGTGAAACCCCGTCTCTACTAAAAATACAAAAATCAGTTGGGCATGGTGGTGCATGCCTGTAGTCCCAGCTACTCAGGAGGCTGAGGGAGGAGAATTGCTTGAACCCAGGAGGCGGAGGTTGTGGTGAGCCGAGATTGTGCCATTGCACTCCAGCCTGGGTAACAAGAGCGAAACTCCGTCTCAAAAAAAAAAAAATTCTAGAAAGAAAAGTAAAATCGTTTGCCT